ATTGCCAGTCGCCGATGACAATAGACTTAAGTACTGTATCAGATGGCCGGCAGCAGCGGCCCAATAGTGCGGCCCTTCATTGTCTCCACCGTCCTCTGGGTATCGGTTGACAAATATATCGGTACTCAATACAGATCTGTGAATGACATCACTTCTTGAGGTTTGGTTGACACTCAACAGAGCAGTCATTAATACATTGGTATTAATCCAAACATTCCAATTGTTGCCGACATTCCACTTACAGAACTCGTAGCCATCGAACCCCATCCATGGCATGTGGGGGTCATCCAGAAAAGGACGGACTAATCGCCGATTCAACTCATAGTCAATCCGTTTGGATATGATTGGAGAGATTTTTGACAATTGGTTTCCTTAATGAAAAAATCTTTAGAAGTGTTTTCATTTAATATAATTCAGAGCAAACTAACCGACAAATAATTGAGCCCAGGCCATATATGCTGATGACTGACCCGCTCCCAGATCTATAACGGTTTGGTAAGGATCCGGTAGACCAAGTCCTGCCTTTTGTAGGTATAGGTGCGCCGGCCATATCCATGAGCTCTCTTCTAATATAAGCCAAATTCCATTCGCGATTTGGTTCATGTATTTCTCATTTCCTGTCAAAACTTCTGCCAGAATTAGATCCATTAGTCTTTGACGTCTATTATTGAGAAATCCCTGAAAGGTATAGCGATCCCCGTCCACCAAATACTGCAATTGCTGGGCGGCCAACAAACAACTCCAGGTGCTATTCAACTCATTGTCCGCCCGTTTAATAATATCATCCTTTATATCATTCGGAAGTTTTTTCAAATTAGTTTTAAATTCGTCTAAAATTTGTTGTCTCCAAACACTTATATTATCTAAACTTTTAGTTTTATTAACATATTCATTATATATAAGATTTCTTTCTTTATAACAATCACTTAACTTAATGAATACAATGAAAACAAAAATTATACAAAATATATTAAATCTCATTTTATATATCATATAATATAAAGTACTGTATACTTTGCTAAGACTTCGAACTAAATGCAATAAAAATGTTTATATAAATTAAACTTTTTAAATGTTCAACATTTTATATTCTACATGGTTGGTAAATACTCTCATCCGGTTTATTACAAAAAGTGATTATATTAATTCATTAGTATATAGCTAATTGTGTGAACTTTCCAAGATAGTTCCATCTTATGCGTTTTTATCCATGACATTCTTATTCGTTTTTTAATTGGTTGGTTCAATAGGTAAAAGAATTCATTTATGAAAAAATGGAATATAATGTTCTCTCTTAAAATAATTGTCTATATTTATGCATTCAGTTTTTCTAACTAAAATGCAGTTAAATTATTTGTTTAAAATATAAATTAAATTTTTAAGCTTAAACTTGTGAAAAATGTCAGTGTTTAATTTTTAAAAAATAATTTGTGGCTATTGTCTGCTACTTATTATCAATGAATCCTTATTTGTTCATTCAATGAATGAGAATTGAATGAGTATCTACAGCTGCATTTTATTTAAATTAATTTATAGAATACTGTACTGTATTAGGGTACAAATAAACCTGATAAATTAAATTTTTAAGCTTAAACTTGTGAAAAATGTCAGTGTTTAATTTTTAAAAAATAATTTGTGGCTATTGTCTGCTACTTATTATCAATGAATCCTTATTTGTTCATTCAATGAATGAGAATTAGAATACGCAAAAATAGGTACTGTAAGAATAAGCAAAAAATTAACCAACCAAGTTATCCATTTTCTTAAGTAAATACTTTTTATGGAATATAATGTTCTCTCTTAAAATAATTGTCTATATTTATGCGTTCAGTTTCTCTAAATAAAATGCAGTTAAATTATTTGTTTAAAATATAAATTAGAATTTTTAACCTTAAACTTGTGAAAAATGTCAGTGTTTAATTTTTTAAAAATAATTTGTGGCTATTGTCTGCTACTTATTATCAATGAATCCTTATTTGTTCATTCAATGAATGAGAATTGAATGAGTATCTACAGCTGCATTTTATTTAAATTAATTTATAGAATACTGTACTGTATTAGGGTACAAATAAACCTGTACTATACCATAATAATAGTATACCATGATCTGCACTAAACCTATGATATTTAATACTGTACCACAAATATTTATAGGAATAGTACAATACATTTATTAATCTTTTGTTTTATGAGCTAACAGTAAGACGTTAGTAGCTACTGAAGAATTTTATTATAATGTAACTGTAAAATACAAATAATTAGCAATATTTGAGAGAGAGAGAGAGAGAGAGAGAGAGAGAGAGAGAATGTAGTTTATAAATATAATCTCTTATGAACCTTATGTAAGCAAACAGATGTCAATAATTAAAAATCTATTAGTTCAAAAATAATATAAATTTAAATTAATAGATTAATAAATTTATGCTATTTAATACCGGTAAATACGGTAATATAATTGTTATAAGTTATAACTATTGACTAACTAAAAATTAAAGTCTATACAGTAAAATAAAGTGATAACTATACAGGGCCGCTAATAATAAAATATAAACTCAACACAAATATTTACTTATAATAACAATAAACAAATTCCTAACCGATAGTATAATAAATCACTGGTTATCGGTAAACCATTGGATCAATACAAATACAAATAACATATTTCTATTTATTTGACTAATCGATAAAAGTTACATAATATGTATTATTTTTACTTATTTCAAGCATTCATGCATACAATGCAGTCATTCAATGCATTCATACAAATAGTGTTAATTATGGTCACTATTGTTATAATACATAATTTATCATGATTATACAGTAATATTTGCACTCATAATCATACATATTATATATGCTAATTAAATCAATCATAATACTAATATTATTTGTGCAAAAATAATATGCTAACCGTTTGACGTTTTTGCAATGCAAAAAAAATAAATTTAACAATAGCCTAGTAAAATGCAAAATAACCTAGTCTATGTCACAGAATATGTTACAGAATATGTCACCAGAATATTCCTATTATACATAAGTTCTACTGAACTACAAATAGCTCTCTAAAGCGTTATTAGTGTTGCATTGAGTAGTGAGTCAAACGAATGCCAAAAACGGGCGTTCATTACAATCCAGTTCTCATATATAGGGTACAGTAGAGGGGGGGAGAGGGAGTGAAATACATTGCAAATGACACACAGTTTGCTTGCATTGTCTGTGAATAAGGGAATAGAGTTATGCTATAAATGTCACACAGTTTACGAAGAGTGAGTTGCAATGTATGATTGGAAATGCATTGAAGGTATTCATTGTGTTCATTGAACTTCACTTCATAATCATATTTATTATTGTTTTCTTGTAATTAACTATTTATTACTAATTACTAACTATTGCTAACCATTACTACCACTACTATTACCACCCATTAGTCGTCACCACATAGTATAATGAGATTCAAAGACACATGACTTGATATGTGGAGACCGTCATCATCACCACAACTGTCACCTTAAATCACATACTAATCAATAAATCGGTTGATAATTGAAACGATTGGCCGAAAGCCATGTCATTATCATCGCCGCCATCGGGAGACCTGTTTGTGATGACCGGCGACCAGAAGGCCAGATATGAGTCGCAATTCGTGCGGATCTGTAGCTCGCGATCGGACTTCATATCAGGAGATCAGGCGAAGACCATAATGTTGGCGTCGGGTCTGCCGCCCAACGTCTTGGCCCACATCTGGGCGTTGGCTGACGTGGACTCCGACGGGAAGATGGATATCAACGAGTTCTGCATCGCTCTGCACCTCATCTCTCTTAGGCTCAAAGGCGTCGATTTGCCGCAAACTTTGCCACAATCTCTGAAGGTATCACTCATTCGCACCATTTGTTTGTTGATTGTCGCGATTGACACCATTTGTTGGTCAGGTGTTGGTGGAGGCGCCCACTTTCGCCGCCTTTACAGACTTCGGCGCCTTTGGTGCGCCCAATGTGCCCACACAGCCATCGATGTCCGCCCCCGGCATGGGTTACGCGGCGAATATGTCAGGAGCGCCGCCCCCACGACCGGCCCCTCCGACGGCCGAAATGAAGGTCCAGCGCTCGGGTTCTATCACTTCAGGAGATTATCTGTTGACTGAGTGGGCGATCCCTCAGCCCTCGAAACTCAAATACACCCAACAATTCAATTCACACGACAGGACGCGTTCGGGTTTCCTGACGGGCCCTCAGGCGAGGAATATCCTCATTGAGTCAAAGCTACCGCAACCAGTATTGGCACAGATCTGGAACCTATCGGACATCGATTCCGACGGAAGACTCAATTGCGATGAGTTTGTCGTTGCCATGCATTTGATTGATTGCGTCAAAGCTGGAGATCAAGTGCCCGCTGTTTTGCCGCCTGATTTGGTCCCCCCTTCGTATAGGCGTAAGAGATCCCTGTCTGGAGTGACCGCTATTCCCACCATTTCTCAAGCGATGGCGCCCGCGATCGACGACATTGTAGAAGAGGGCGGAAAGGGATTTGTGGCGACATTTGAGGACAAGAGGAGAGAGAACTTCGAGAAGGGACAGCAGGAGCTCGACAGACGACGACAGGCTCTCCTCGAGACTCAGAAGAGGGAACGGGAGGAAAGAGAGCGCAAAGAGAGGGAAGAGCACCAAAAACGCGAACAAATAAGGTGTGTGTCCTGTCACTAGTCGTTTGGATGAATGGGTGAATGATTTTGTTGTGATGTGATGTCTATAGACTGGAACAGGAGAGGAAACGACAGGACGAGCTCGAGAGACAGGCGCAGAGACAGCGAGAAATCGAGAACGAAAAGGAAGAGCAAAGACGTAAACAACTGGAACAGAGGGAAGCGGCCAGACGTGAGATGGAAAGGCAGAGAATGATTGAGTGGGAAAACACCCGAAAGCAGGACTTATCCAATCAGAAGATCAAGACTCAGGAAGATCTCCTCAAATTCAAGTCTAAGAAGAAGTCATTGGCTTTAGATATGGAAAGAGTGAACAATAAGTTGAATGAATTGAACGGAACGGTTGGCGAGACTCGCAAAAAGGTGGTCGACATTAAGGCTGAGATCGATTCGATGAGACTGGAAAGGGATCAGAAGTTAGGACTTCTCAGCTCTATTAAGGCTCAGATCAAGGCTTTGAATGACAGGCAGTTATATATAGAGCAGGAGAAACTGAATCTGACTCAACAGCTTAAGAATACAGCGGCCGCTGCAGGTATTGTCTATTATTTGTTGATATCTTGAATATGATTTAAGTTTTGGTGAATACAGGCGCCGAGAACGCTGGCACCGATCAGTTTGCCCTTCAAAACAAGCAAATAATAATAAATCAGTTGAAGTCCCAAATCGATCAGTTCGAGACCGAGAGGACCACCAAAATGGCTGATTTGGCCAATAATAACACACAACTCACTGAATTGAAAGACAAATTGCAGCAAATGATTGAGAGAACCACACAACTGGCCAATGAATATGAAAGCAAGCGTCTGGAGGCACAGGAGTTCCGCGACTCTCAGAGTCAACAGACCAATGAGGATGTGAACGCCGGTTGGGGTCAAGAGGTTCCCACTAATGTTGAGTGGCCTACAGATGATAGTGCAGTAAAAGCTGACCGAACGGTTACTAAAGTGAAGTACAGATGTCTTTACACCTTCACAGCAAGAAATGAGGACGAGTTGACTGTAGAACCGGGAGATATAGTACTCGTGAGTATTCCTTCTTAACTTGTATTTGAATTTATAAATTACTAATTTTGCAAACAATCGTAAAGGTTGATACGAGTGCCTGTTCAGAGCCGGGATGGCTATCAGGACACGTGAGAGGACATACCGGTTGGTTTCCTGAGGCATATGTAGAGCTGATTGATGGCGAACCCAATAAAATCGAAACTGAGAGTAATTTTGATGTTCAGAGACGAACACCTCTCGAGTATGTGTGCAGTGTTTGCATTCATTTATAGATTAGATTAAGACTTAAGGTTTGATTAAATATATGATTTGTCTTATGTTTAGGGGTATCGCAGAGGCGCCAGAGAATGGAAACGAGTCCGAAGTGATTGCCACCAAAACGTCGACTCAGTTCACCACTTCAGACGAGTCCAGTTTCCAGAAGCCGACCGCCATTTCTAAGACCTCTGACTCATCATCGGATTCAATCAAAGCCATCGCACAGTATCCCTGGAAAGCCAAAGAGGACAACCACTTGTCCTTCTCTAAGGGAGATGTGATCACAATCAAAGAGCAACAGGACATGTGGTGGTTCGGACAACTCGACACCGCTTCCGGTTGGTTCCCAAAGTCATACGTCAAACCATTGGATGCCACGGGAAATGTCGCTCAAGAAGACGAAGAATACTATATCTCATTATATCCGTTTGAATCGCAAGAAACGGGAGATCTGTCTTTTGATGCAAACGAGTTGATTAAAGTGATTAAAAAGGACGGCGACTGGTGGACAGGCGTTATAAGCGACGCGAGGCAGGGGGTCTTCCCTTCCAATTATGCTCGATCAGCACAACCCGACGAGATTGTGAGTTATTTTTTATTATTTGCTTTTATTTTGTGTTTTTCTTTGCCTCCGTTTGTCTCGTTTTGATAATTTTGTATTGTTTTGTATAAATGCATGCTTTTTGTATCCAATTTAAAATCAATGGTTGCTTATTGTATGAAATTTTAACACAAAAGGCGTTCAGTGATAACCATATGCTTTATGTTTGTTAAAAATGTAATTTGTTTGCTTCAGCCCAACCCAGTCCTAACAGAGCCAAGCATTCCAGCGCCCAAAACCACTTGTGCGCCACCACTTCATAGCCAAATGTCGGCTCCGACTCCCCCACCCAACAGTGATGGGGAAGTAAGTGATAATTTGAATTGATTTGCAAATTCTGTATATTCTGTATATTCTAAACATGTTTTGTTTCCAAAACTTTTGCTGCAATTCTGTACTAACTTAAAGAGAAGGAACTCAGAGAGCTGTGACTCTCCTAAGCCATCAAAGGTCTCGCTTTAATTGTTTCATTCGCTAACACTTTATATTAATCTCTCCGTTCAGTCCATCGTTTGTTTAGTTATTGAATTAAATTATGTTTTTATGAACAGAAGTCGAAGTTAAAGAAACTGGAGATCGTGACAGTGATCGCGCCCTATAAGGCCACCGGACCCGAGCAGTTGAGTCTGGAAAAGGGACAACTGATTCAGGTTCGCAAGAAGACATCTTCGGGCTGGTGGGAGGGAGAGGTGCAGGTCAAGGGCAAGAAGAAACAGGTCGGTTGGTTCCCCGCCTCTTATGTCAAACCATTGAACCCTTCGAGTGGCTCCGGCGGCTCTTCAGCCAGATCTACACCCGACCCCAACAGACAGAAAGCCTCAGAGGATAAGGATTCAGGTATTGATTAATTTTATTAGTTTTTTAGTGGTTTTAATGATTTTTATTGTTAATATTTTCAGAGAGAGTGATAGCGTTGTATGCATTCCGGGCCCAACACGACGACGAGTTAACCTTTGAGACGAATGACATGATTAAAGTATTAGCGAAGGAGGACACCACGTGGTGGAGAGGACAGCTCATCAGCACCGGTGCCGTCGGATTGTTTCCTTCCAATCACGTCGACGTATATCGCGAGCAATGTATGTATTAATTTACTAATTATTTGGTAAAACCGTATTATCTATGAGATTATCTATGATTACGTTTTTATTATTTAATTTCATTTTTAACTTATTATCTAAAATAATACGGTTTTTTCTAAACCATAGTATTTTGAGTCTTAATTAGTGTTTGGACTTAACATATGATGCAATTGTTGACCATTTCTGATGCACTCTTTGCCTCTTTTACTGGTTTTGTAGGAGAATATCAAGAATTGCATAATTAATATGTGTTTTGGAGACCCACTACTAGTGACTTCCATTACTTTCCACACATTATTGTTGTCTTTAATTATTGCGCAAAAGTTCACAATTAGTTTCGCCCAAACCGGCCGTACATTTGAAGGCATCTCTTATGGCATAAACAAAAACGACTTATCATTAAATCATATGATTTATGACTTATAATTATTATAACACAAAACAATTATATCAACTGAATATGAAAACTCTGTAATTAATGTGAAAATAGGTTTTAATTGGAATTATCTTTGAAAAGATTCTTTGAGTTTATATTATTTAAAAGAATTATATATTTATGTCTGTTTTGTTTTATTATTTCAGACCATTAGTCGAGTAGTGGGTCTTCTATTGTTAAGTTTATTGTATTTTATTTTCATTTCGTTTTTCCCAATATTTTCAGTTTTTTTTATTTTTAAGTATTTTTTTTCAAATTTTATATTATATTAAATGATTTGATTAAATATTATATTAATTAAGTTTTCAAGTGCTAAAGAATCTCTTTAAGGAATAAATTATTATTGAATCTCATTATAGTTATAGTTATGAATGAATTAATAAATTAAATTAAATGTAAACTTATTGTCATTATAAATACAATCAGTTATTACAATAAGAAATGTTGTGTTTTATTTTAAACCCTTTTGTGTTATCTTGTGTTTCAATTTCCACTACTAGTGACTTCCATTACTTTCCACACATTATTGTTGTCTTTAATTATTGCGCAAAAGTTCACAATTAGTTTCGCCCAAACCGGCCGTACATTTGAAGGCATCTCTTATGGCATAAACAAAACGACTTATCATTAAATCATATGATTTATGACTTATAATTATTATAACACAAAACAATTATATCAACTGAATATGAAAATTCTGTAATTAATGTGAAAATAGGTTTTTATTGGAATTATCTTTGAAAAGATTCTTTGAGTTTATATTATTTAAAAGAATTATATTTTGTTTTGTTTTATTATTTCAGACCATTAGCTGAGTAGTGGGTCTTCTATTGTTAAGTTTATTGTATTTTATTTTGATTTCGTTTTTCCCAATATTTTCAGTTTTTTTTATTTTTAAGTATTTTTTTCAAATTTTATATTATATTACATGATTTGATTAAATATTATATTAATTAAGTTAAAAGTGCTAAAGAATCTCTTTAAAGAATAAATTATTATTGAATCTCATTATAGTTCTAGTTATGAATGAATTAATAAATTAAATTAAATGTAAACTTATTGTCATTATAAATACAATCAGTTATTACAATAAGAAATGTTGTGTTTTATTTTAAACCCTTTTGTGTTATCTTGTGTTTCAATTGATTTCGATTCAGACCAACAAATCGACGAACAGATCAGTGAATACAATGTTTATGCAACTATTGATCCGCCAATCAATGGATATGACAGTGAGTTTGAAGATGAAGAGGAGGACACGACTGGATCCGAATCCTATAGTATTACAGATGACGAGAGGAAACGTCAAAATCATTTGAATGAATTCCTCGCCACTGAAAATGCTTATGTTGTTGATATGGCTATTGTTATAGACGTGAGTTGTTTGTCTGTCGGCGCTCGAGGACCATAAAGTGATCTCTTTTTCAAATGATCAACAGGTGTTCCAAAAGCCTCTCAAAGCCAGGAATTGCATAACAGATGCCGAGTCTGATGCAATTTTTGTCAACTGGTCCAGATTAGTTAGATGCAACCAAAAGTTTCTAAAGTATTGACTATTATTTACCAGTTGTTGAGCCCTTTATTAACGCTTTTTGTTTGTATTCAGAGCTCTTCGAAATCGCAAACGTAATGCGATTGTGAGCCATAATATGACTATTATCAACGAAATCAGTGATATTTTTTGTGATTATTTAACTCAAATGTCAGACCATTACGTGAAATACTGTTCGCGACAGTTAACGGCCGCTCGACTCATACAAAACAAGACCGAAAATGACCCCAATTTTAATGAGACGGCCAAACAGTGTTCGCAGGACTCGCGCGCCAACCGATTGCCGCTCAGCAGTTATCTCCTGAAACCAATGCAGAGAATCACTAAATATCCACTACTTATCGGCAAAATACTAGAGCACACGCCTACCTATCACTGCGATTATGTTAACTGTGAAAAAGCCCTGAAATTATCTCAGGAGTTATGTAAGCGCGTCAACGAGGCCTGTCGTAACACCGAAGACTCCCAGCGCTTACAGTGGATTCAAAAGCAGATCAGAGTCGACGGCATCGATCAGAACATTGATTTCAATTCAGAAACCAATTGTTTGGGTATTTAATGCAATTTACTTTGAATGCAGAGTTTGTCAGTAAACCTAATTTGTCTGAACTGTTAGGTCGGCGCCAGTTATTACATTCGGGAACTCTTATTAAAGCCAATTCTGGCCGCGAATTGATTGCCTTCTTATTCAACGATTTCCTGTTACTCACAATTGCTTTGAAAGAATTGCCTAAAATAACGAATGTATTCGCCTCTGAGAAAGCCCTGTCCGCTACCTATCGACTATACAAAGAGCCCATTCTGTTGAATGACATAATTATTACGGAATTGTCTCAATTTGACACCAATTTAGATCCAAATCTATTTCAAATTCATGTCAATTCTCAACAAAAGTATTTCACTTTTAAAGCCATTTCTACAAATGAACGCTCGCTTTGGGTTAAGTCTATAGACGTCTCTTCACGACATTTCCGAGACGTCGAAAGACTTGAGCTTTTGTCGACAAAAACATTAAGTAAGCATTTAATTCAATTAACCCTGTACAGTACACAATACTCATTATTATCCTTTTTACTATGAATTTAAGATTTAACTAAATTGCGAAAAATTGGCCGATTATTCGTAACTGTGATCGAAGGCCTTCAGCTAACATCTAATAATAGTGAGACATTTGCTACACTTGCTTAACAAACGTTCATTAAAACACATTTCAATTGCCATTTCAGACGTGATGAATGCATTTTGTAAGATAAGTATTGGTAAGAATGAAGAGCACATATATCAGACCCATTCCACAAAAGTGGTCCGTTGCGTGGCTACTAGCCCTACCGGTGACCGATCATTGATCTCACGTTCTTCGCCGTCGATTGTCACTCGAAATCAGATAAACATTGTCTCGAAGTCTAATTTATTTAAACTCAAGTGGAATGACTCCACACAACTCATTGTCTACGAAGACATGAATAACTTATTGCAAATCAAATGCTATGATCGCAACCCATTCGCTGCCAACTATTTGATCGGTTCATCCGCGCTATCAGTCCGTGAATTGGCCGAACAGATGAGTCAAATCCAAGGCCCCATCACTAAGGAAGTGCGGCTCACGTCCGGTGACAACAACCCGAATGCCAATCCCAGCGTTTACTTAAAGCTTGATTTACAATATTTTGACAAATGATGCGACAAATTGTGATCTTTTTACACGTTTTTAAATCTTATTTTTTAGCACTTATTCTTCATTTCTATTTTATTAGTCAAAATCGCAAAACGAGTTATTTTCGGAAATCTAGTTATCATTTATTAGTCAAAAACTGATAAATCGTTTAGACATTCAAAGACATGCATTACGTGTTCATTAAATTCAG